TCCGGGGGGTCTGGGGGTGCTCCGAGGGGTCGGGGTCCCTTGCCCAGCCCTCGGCCAAGATAAATTCTCGGTCCTTTGGGTCTGGGGGTGCGCCGAGGGGTCGGATCATCCTCTCCCAGCCCCGAGGTCCCTGCCCAGCCTCAGGCCAAGATAAACCCTCGGTCCGTGGGGTCTGGGGGCTCACCGAGGGGTCGGGATCCCCCCCAAACCCCCAGCCGAGATAAACCCCCGGTCCGGGGGGGTCTGGGGGCACGCCGAGGGGTCGGATTATCCTCTCCCAGCCCCGAGGTCCCTCCCCAGCGTCCTGCCAAGTGGAACCCTCGGTCCGTGGGGTCTGGGGGCTCACCGAAGGGTCGGGATCCCCCCCAAGCCCCCGGCCGAGATAAACCCCCGCTCCGGGGGGGTCTGGGGGCTCTCCTGGGGGGTCTCTAGACGGAGCTGCGGCGCTTGCCGAGCCCCGGCAGCGCGGCCAGGCTGTGCAAGCCGCTGGACACGGAGCTGATGGCCGAGCGGCGGGCCCCGCACAGGCAGCGCTTCGGGGGGGTGTCCGCGCCGCGCGAGGGCGTGGAGTGGCCGTGGCCGTGTCCTCCGTGTCCGTGTCCGTGTCCCTGCTCGGCGGCCGCGTCCGAGGCGGAGGACAGGTCGCGGGGGATGATCATGGGGATGGAGTACTGCAGCTTCTCGCGGCTCTTGTACCACAGGCACGAGCACACGGACTGGAAGTGCAGCACCTCGGCGTAGACGTTCCGCAGCCCCCCTCCTCCTCCTCCCCCTCCTCCTCCTCCCCCTCCCCCCTCCCCGGGTCCGGCCGCGGCCCCCGCGGCGGGCGCGGCCGTGGGGTTCTCGCGTGGGCGGGCGGCGAGCAGGGCCCGCTGCTCCGCGTCCCGCCGCTCGTCCTCGGCGTTCATGGTCATGAAGCGCAGCACCACCAGGTTGAGGAAGGCGCCGATGACCGTGAGCCCCGTGAGGATGTAGACGAAGCTGAAGGCCACGTACTGCGGCTGGTTCTGCAGCGCCTGGTCCTTCTGCAGCGCCACGTAGTCCCCGAAGCCGATGGTGGTGAGGGTGATGAAGCAGTAGTAGTAGGCGTGGAAGAAGCTCCAGCGCTCGTAGTGCGAGAAGGCGGCGGCGCCCACGCAGAGGGTGCTGATGCAGGAGAAGAAGCCGATGGTGACCATGTTGGCCATGGAGACCTCGGGCCGCCTCATGCCCAGGCACCTCTTGGCGCGGTGCAGGAGGTACTTGACGAAGGTGTTGATGCGCTCGCCCAGGCTCTGGAACATGACGAGGGTGAGGGGGATGCCGAGCAGCGCGTACACCATGCAGAACACCTTCCCCCCGTCCGTGCTGGGCGCGGCGTGGCCGTAACCTGGGCGGGGGGAGGAGGGGGAGGGGAGGGAGGGGAGAGGGCAAAGAGGGGTCAGCGAGGGGCTCCGGAACTCGGGGGGGCTCCCTCGGCTGCCGGGGAAGGGTGGGATGGGAATCCTGGAGCTCGTCCTGTCCCACCTCCCGCTGTCCCGGGTGGATCCAACCCGGCCTGGGACACTGCAGCCACAGCTTCCCTGGGAATTCCAGCCCAGCCGGGAATCCCTTCCCAATCTCCCCTTTCCCAGTGGGAAGCCATTCCCTGTGTCCTTCCAGGCATTGCAGGCCCTGATCCCAAATCCCTCTCCAGCTCTCCTGGAGCCCCTGCAGGCTCTGGAAGGGGCTCCAAGCTCTCCCTGGAATCCTTTTTCCCCCTTTAATCCCTTGGAGATGCATCCCCAGGGAATATCTGCTGGGAAACTGGGAAGCCAAGCCTGGAGCCACCCCAGCAGCACCTCCAGCTCCGCGGGATCCCAGGTTGGTTTGGGTGGGAAGGGACTTTAAATCCCATCCTGTCCCACCCCCTGCCATGGGCAGGGACACCTCCCACCAGCCCAGGTTGCTCCAAGCCCCGTCCAACCCAGCCTGGGACACTTCCAGGGGATCCAGGGGCAGCCACAGCTCCTCTGGGATGTGCCGGGGATGTGTTTGGATGGACCCCTGGCGGGGGTGGGGGACACACCTTCTCCACCCTTTGGGTTTGGGAATCCCACTTGAGATCCCACTTGCCCAAACCCGCATCCACGACGCTGATCCTGCGGGATCCCCGCCCCACGGAGCTGATCCTGCGGGATCCCCGCCCCACGGGGCTGATCCTGAGGGATCCCCGCTCGTCCTGGGCCTGGGGGGGCCCTGTGGGGGGGATGTGCCCCCACTCCAGGCACCCACTGTTCCCCTGCCCCTCCCTGTCCCTGCACCTTTCCCTGTCCCTATTCCTGCCCCTGCCCCTGCCCCTGTCCCTGTCCCTGTCTCTGTCCCTATTCCTGTCCCTATCCCTGTCCCTATTTCTGCCCCGTCCCTGTCCCTTCCCCTGTCCCCATTCCCATCCTTTTCCCTTTTCCTTTCCTTTTCATTCTTTTTCTTTCTCTCTCTTTCTCCTTCTTTGTCTTTTTTTTTCCCTTTTCCTTTCCCTTTTCAGTTTCCTCCTTTCCTTTACCCTTTTACTTTCCCTCCTTTCCCTTATCCTTTTACTTTCCCTTTGGTTTTCGTTTCTTTTTTTTTCTTCTTCTTTTTTTTTTCCTCTTTTCCTTTTCTCCTTTTCCCTCCTTTTTCTCCTTCTCTTCCTTTCCCCCTCTTTCCCCTTTCCCC